ATATTTACTCGTTTTCATTGTTATTCTGACGTTTTTCCGTCGTTTGATTCATGGAGCCAGTTTCCAGAGGTCAAAGGTAATAGTCACTCATTGGGATTATCGGAAATCTTTTGGGTAAACTAGCGATACCAACGTTGATAAAGGAAAAGGTTTAGAACCAGACTCGTTAGTCTCACTATTCATTTAACAATAGATCAGACCACACTATAGATTAGTTGGACTTTTTGACTTAAAAAAAATCCCCAAGTTGATAATTTATGGTGATGCTTGACGTCTCAATTTAAAATTGTTGATTCGTCTCGCTCAGTTGGGAACTTCAGGACGTTGGTATAAAGTATAATGTCCTAATCTTTATGAACCGTTTGTAAGTTAAGATCTATATAAATTTAAGTTTTAAGTCATTAAATTTTACAGTTATTTCTGTTTAAATTGGGAAAAAAATGTTCGTTTTCATATTATATATTAATGTATTATTTCCGTAATATAATAAATAGTACATTTTAAAACAGGAATGAAGAGAGATTTTAAAATTTTGATAGTTAACTTTTATAAATATCTGAAATTTATCTTTGAATTTGAATTATAAAGCTTTACGTTTATAAATTATAATCATGAATTTTTAGTTTTAATCTATCTTTTATGATTTTAGTCTATTTGCAGACGTTTAAATTCACTAAATTTTGTCTTTATTCCAATTTGAATTAGATAAAAATTAATTTTTATATCGTTAATTCTTTTATTAATATTAATAATATTGTTTTATAAAGCAATAATAAAGGTAAAATTTAATGCTTTATATCTAAATTTAAGATTTAAAAAAAACCCTTAAATTTACAAATTATAGTAATAAATTATTACTTTAAGTCTATCCTTTTAGTTTTTAATATTTTTAAAATTATAAAAGTTGTTAGATTAATTATCATTAATCTTTAATCGTTAAATTAGTTTTTATAGAAAATTACTAGAAATTAGTAAGAAACATCGGCTTTAATCCAATAAAGTTTGAATTTTTAATTATAAAACTATTAAATCTGTGAAATAATTATATTATTAAATGTAAATAAGTCTAAATTTAAATTATAGATAGCCTATCATTACAGTTATAGTTAATTATTCTTATGCATTCGTTATTGTATGTTGAAAACTTGTGAACATATTTAGAAGTAGGTGCATATAAGTTTTCAAAACGTTTACTTGCAATTGCTAATTACATAATTAAAAAGTAGTAAATCTAGTTTATCTATCCAATTTCATTATTTCTTAATGAGAAGTTTTATACTTTACGTAAAATAAATTATCTTTGAAAATGATTCCATAATTTATTATTAATTAATGAATATAAGAGCATCAGAAAATAAAAAACTTAATATTTTTTATTAAAATAACAGTTGTTAGAGATTCATAATACAGATTAAAATTAATAAAATTATAAATTAATTTATTAAAAATAATCAAAACAATAATTGGAATCAAGAGAGCTTCCCATGATTACGGCTGGACTTGATGTGGCCCTAAACTATACCATATTAGAGGTCCTTCCTCTCCACTGAATAGTAATATAGTTCATTCATATTTTATAAGTTTTATAGTAAACAATTGTTTAATAATGAATTGCTGCATAAAAAAAGGATTAATAATAAAATTTATGGATATTAGCAATCATCTGATTCATTGATAAAGGAAGAGCCACGATCCTTAAAAGTCCCAGTCTCAAAACATTAATATGTAGCATTCATTATTTACGAGAAAGGGTCTTGCGTATGTTATACGTTGTATTTTAGGGTCACAATATGTCTAAATTCAGCTATACATAAAGGGCCTAAATTAAATGTATTATTGATATTTAATTGCCATAGTAATTTATAGATTTTTAAAATACATAATAATTCTTCTAAGAAATTGTTAAAAAGAAACTTATAAAATATAATAAATAATATATTTTTTTATAGAAGAAACTAAATATAATTCTGATAATATAATCTGTAACGAAAAGAATAAAATAAACTCAAATTTTTTTTTTAATTTTCTTTGTTCTTAATTAATTTATATTGTTATAGTATGCATTTTTAAATTTTTTCATATAATTTTTATTTTTTACATTTTATTTATTATTCTTAGGTTAACTTTTACTGAATAATTATGTAATATCTGATTGAAAATTTCTATATAAATATGTTTATTATATTACTAGTACAGCAATATACCTACCGTATTAATGTTACTACACTTTGATGCTGGAAATATATTTTATCTGGTTGTTTTTAATAGGCTTAAAAATTCTTTGTTCTGCAAATTATAGTTTAATCTATAACAACAACTATAACTTATATCTTAAAACATTTATGTATTGGTATAGACAAGTTCTGATAGGAATAGAAAGCCATTTAAGCGGGATCCAATGTAAAGAAGCCTCAGAATTCAGTTTTTCATATCATATTCACTTTTTATCTAAAATCATGCTTTTTACCTAAAAGACTAAATTTTACGGAAGTCGGATACAGAGAGATTCTAAAAATGTAGTCTTTCGTATCGTTTCCACTTTCATATTATGTTTTTTTATATTTAAAATACTAAATTTTAGGAATATAAGGTTTAGATAAGCCCCAAAATTTAGTATTCTATGATACAAAATTAATATAAATTAAAATTTCAATTGACATGTGGTGAAAAATATTTGTTTTATTGATTTTATCGGTATAATTTTATGGTTACCAGAGACTGGTCTTAGTTATAAGAAATAACTTTATTTTACGAAAGAATATGTTTTGTATATCAATAATGGCACGTACTTTCTTAAGATTTCATAAATTTAATTCAAAAGAATTTATTTTATCTTTCAGAAGTAAGAATTGTTTATATAAATATAAAATTTAATATGTCATTTTTTACATTAATTAATTTATTATTAATATAAAACTTTACGCAATTTTATGTAACTTTTCGATCAAATAGTGCCCTTTCCACCTTGCATACACCTGTTGCTACTCCTTCATTTACTAGCTTCCTAAAATAATTCCATCTTTCCTTTATCATCTCAGTCTTGTAATACTACCATTCTCGTCTTTTATCTGTTTTATTGGTGTGAAATGCTTTGATGCCTTGTCCTTTGCTTTTGCAATTCTTATCAGTTGCTTATCCCCATCCTTTCTTACCAGTTCCTCATAGGCCTTATCCACTGCCTTTGCTATTGCCACATCCATTTTGCCTTTTTGCTTGCTGTTGTATGTTTACCATCCTTGTTACCTATTAAGAGTTGGCAGCAGTGAATCCGTGAGGACATAGGTGGAGGGTAGACAGGCTCCATAAGCATCTCAGACTGCCATTCCTGGTGGTTTGTCTGAATAATAGTCTGATTATAAATAGGATGGCCTTTACACAATGCCTAAGAAGAAAGACTGTTTGGGGTAACCCCCGCACACCCTGTTTACCTGTGCTTTCCGTTTTTTATACATGTGTAAATAAAAAACGGA